GTTAGGGTCGACAGGAACGAGGCTCGTTCGACTTAGGGGTGTTCGACCCAGGATGAGGTCGGGTTGCTCCGTACGCTTCGAACCGAAGCAGCTCCTGAGTATGCCGGAGATGCGAAAGAGATCCGCCGCCTTTTGGTGGGAGAGATCTGGTTGTGCGGCGCGGCGGCGACCAGGTCGAAAGAGAACTTTTGGTATCGACGGGAACCAGCTCTCTACTCCTTGTGGGAGGCAAAAGTCAAACGTTCCATGCAGCAACCTGAAGACTGATTGGTGCCACTGGGAGGGAATGGATCCAAAGTAGACTGGGAGATCAATCCCTCATTTCTTACCCAGCACTCAAATCCCCTCGTCCCCCGACTTATCCCACAAAGCCTAAATACATCTTACCCTAGGGCTCCAAGTACCTTCCAAGAAGGTGTTTGGGGTGGGTTTAGAGGGTCCAAACACCTTCTGAGGAGGTACTTGGAGCCCTAGGGTTGATACATCACCCACTCCCTTCAAGTCTCTTTGGTCTTCCAAAGGTGTACACCCAAACGCTCCGTGAACGACGCCCTTTCCTGCTCCCTCAAAACCTAGGGATTGGTTCGACCCCTGACCCCTCCAAAGGATTCGGTCCAGGGTCGCGTCTGGGCAGTACAAAAAATGGTTGAGACATGTTGAGACTCTGAAAGCCGATAAGAAGGGCTCTGTCTGGCTCGACGGTCCGACCGCAACAACACAGGTATGGATCCACGTAACACGGGTCCAACGATGAGTGGGGTCCGTGGATTGAGAGGACCAACACAGACCCCAAGGTTCGGTGGTGCAATGATGGACCCCCATCTGTCGATGGGACATGGGGTCTGTATGGTCTGTGCCAAAGAACCTCTGAAACTACTGGGCCAAGGGGGATCTGTCGTCGGTGTGGCATGCCACTCAGTCCCACTCCCATCGTGTCGTTCGCTCCACCCATCGCACGTCGGTCCAAAAACTGGCTCCGTCGCTACGGCCATCGCTGTGATGTGGTGAAGAATTCCCACCCAAACATGAACCGATCCCTCCGTATGGGATGTCAACCTACCATGGTAGACGGTGGGGGGAGGTGCAATGACGAGACCCATATCCCTAACCCATTGACCCCAAACATCTCCAACTCATTCCCTAGCGATCCAGTCGTACCGAACCTCAGGTACCATGATGTGTTCGACACTGAGACATGTAGGTGCCAAAACGTCGGGTCCAAGTATATACCTTCTCAGGTTAGTAACGATTGGATCCCCAGCCAGTTTGGACTTCTCAGGACGTCTGGACCACCGACTTGGTCTCCCCTCTGCTCCATGCACCAACGGCTCTGGCTCGGATGAAGGGACGTAAGAATCCCAGACACGACTAATGGGACTGGCATAGGACTGCCGATCAGGCCAGGCATGGTGTTGGGGGTCAATGTAGGCATATATACCAGTCCCATGGAGTGTCTGGGAATAGTGTTTCCGTTTTTTTTTCGACCAGCAAGTATATGGCTCTGGAAGATGAACAAGCTTCTGTTCCCATCTTCGGACGTGCTTTGGAATTCCAAATCAAGGACATGCATGACAACACCTGGACCTTCAAAGGGGTGCTCAATGGAGATCCCTAAGTAGTGTAGGATAGTCAGCCCTTTGAAGGTGCCGGCAAGCATGAAAACCAGCCAATCAGCGCCACCGGTGGCGTTCCCGGTGTTCCTCTTCCGCCGCACCGCTTCGCGGTCGTGGACCTCTCCCGGCCAAGGGGCGGAGTAGGACCTCTCCAGGGCGCACCGGTGAGCCGACGGTGGACCGAGACCGAGGTGACAACGACCGGGACCGATCCGCGACCGAGTGCGGTGAATCTGCAGCCCGTGACGTGCGTCTTCCTTTCTGACTCTAGCTGCCGGCAGTAAGAAGTGCATGGACCAAATCCGTGCATCAAGAAAGACCAAACGTGCATCAAGAAAGGACATGGTCTGCTAGTAACACCATGGTCTATGACAGTATGAGCTTCATAATGCGATGTTCCCAATGTTTCTGAACGACTTGACAACCCAGCTTCCAGAGCTTCTGGTAGACGCAATGCAATTGACATCATGAGATCAATTGCCGCCCTTCATGGGTGTATCAAGTGTCTTGCTGCCCTTTGCTATCCTGCTATCCAAAGAAAAAAAACAAAATATATATGTGATGGCCGTTTGTGGGTTGCTTGACCAAAAAAGAGGAGACACACAAGAACTGCGAATGCGGAAGTGCTCCCAAGGGACCCGCAGAAACAAGCCAACAGCAAAGAATGTCTTGTTTGCATGTCCTCTGAGCAACGTTCCACAAGAACCACCGACGATCACAACAAAAGAAGATGACACGTCTTTCTCAACCAAAGTTTGTACTGGAATCCAAGTCGATCAGTCCTTGCATTTCCGAGCCTAGTCAAGTTACGTCAGCGACTTACAAAAATTGGTCCCAGACTTCCTGAGAACGCCATCAGGACGTTACAAAATGTGAACCTGGCCAGCAATTCTCCTATAGAACTCCCTTGGAGCACATGTTCCGTGTTAAGGTCGATGTAACATGGAAATAACATATAGAACATATTGCTTAACCAAGCAAGGCCTGACCATGTTCTAGAATAGATTTAAATCTAGTATACAATGAAGATGTCTTGATTTAAGAGGGTCTGCCTTAGACAATAAAGTGCAATCCACCGCAAACTTTTTGACCTGGATCCCACGTCTGTCTATTTCTTATGCGAAACAACCCGGAACAAAAGACCCCATGCCTTCTCAGTTGCCTGGCGCGAAGAGGTCTTCGCGCTGGGAGGTCTTTGAGTGGATGCATTGTTACCAGCACGACTGGGGGTGCGGTGCTAGGCAAACCACATCCACAAATACCAGACCAAAAACATAATGGCATACATGATCGTCAATGGGATGTATGGTTACTATATGTTAACTAGCTACCCAAGCACTACCCAAGCACTCCATGTGTAGAATTGTGTATTGACAACTGGTTCAACTTTTCTTTAATCACGCTGATGTAGCGATGCCCTTATTCCTAGTAGCTTCTTGTTCCTAGTAGTACGGCCAGGAGCCCCGTTCGTAGCGTCCTTGTTCCTAGTAGCGATGTAGACAAATCAGCCAGCCCCACCCAGTCATGTCTGGGATATGGCAGGATGGGATGTCCAAAAAGCTTGGATCATTCTTCGCCTCACTTGGGCGATGTCCAGACGTTGAAATGCCAGGGTCAGTGGATGAATAAAGCTGAAGATCACATGTGAGGACTGTCATGTCTCACCCCATAGCAGGACCCCCAGATTGGGGTGTCTATTCTCCTTAAAGGTTAAGGGTGTCAACCACCCAACTCCCGTGGGTCCTGGTACATACCCAGATACTATATGTCCATATATGGATCCACTAGCACCTTCTGAGAAGGTGAGCAGGAAGAAACAGACCTCAGGCGCCAGAAGGGACCAGTTGTACCTTCGTTTGGAAGGTATGTGGAAAGCTATAGGGTAAATAATATACATTATATAATCCTTCCATCACTGAAAGCCACGGTCCGCGACACTGGGCAATCGAAAGCTAAATCAGTTGCGGTGGCCTCTGTGTAGGATACGGATCTGAATGGGGAGACCTCCCAACTGATTCAATCTGTTTTTGTTTATATTATGCTTCTAGGTCTTTGGGAGGTCTCCCTGTTTGAATACACACCCATATGGGTCAAAACTTGGAAACCGGCCCATGGCCAGGTTGGACATCCTGGGCAATCGCCACAATGAAAGCAGACCTGTTTGGGCTCCCAGTGTATCCTCAGAAGATAGTTGGACCGTCCAAACCAATGCAAACACCGCCCAAACACCTTCTGAGGAGGTATTTGCAGACCCGCCTAACAAGGGGTAAGCAGTAAACGCATCACTTTGTTGGTGGTTTCTGACTCACTCTTGAAACATAGTATGAATCTAGTGGGCTCAATCGTCCCAACTAAAGGTTGATCATTTAAAAACACCTATCCCAAAACCATCAGCTAAAGACCTTCTCCAAAGCAAGAAACCGCCCACCCCCCATCCCTGCCTCGGCGCCGATCGCTGCGGCGGCGCGGTCCACGCGGACGGCGCTTCTTTCGGCCGCAGCACCGCCGCAGGCAGCAACGGTGCCATGGGCCGCGGCGCGTTGTTGAGCGTCGGGTGTTGTTCAGCGCACGACTCGGGTCGTCTTGGTGAAGATGATGGGAGAGGGATGTCGTCGACCAGGTGTGCAGGTAACTTGAGTTCTGGGTGTTGCGGGACTGAATGGTGTGTTAACAGTTATATACAATTGTTGATGGTATTGGCCGTGGTTGTTGTTATACCACACATTGACCTTGAAAAACGCATGTTGCAAACATTATCAAATCTATATAGTCTATCTTGTTGGAGATGTCAATCGCCTTGTTTTATTCAGCCAAGGACGTGGGATTGTATTTTTTGGCGATGTGGCCCTCCTTGGGCGTTCTGGACATGCATTCTCTCTGAACGGAAACCTGGAGAGCCAACGAACCATGGCGGAAAAACCATTAAACGGTTCATAAGGAAACCCTGTAGTCCCCAATAAGCTCTTGTAACATAAGTCCTTTAACCTGGGTGTCTCCCTATTTTCACGCACATACCAACATTTCAACATGACATGCAAATAGGCAAATAGTAATATATATATATATATGAAATAGCACTGGAGTCTTCAGAGTTTCAAAGACTCACTCCCAACGGTGGCCGGTCTTTTTATGCCAAACATATTCCAAAACCGTGACTTTGGGGATTAAAAAAAAATGCACGTGTGGTTCCACGGTTGAAAACCACTCTCGCATTCCCGAGGGATCCATGTACCTCCTTGGTGTTTGGACGTTCCAAACCTACATTTCTCTGATCATCCTCTCCTAGGGATTTGGTCAACTCTTGAGTAAATAAACAACACAACTCACTCTTGGATTCCGAAGTGAATTCTGCCGATCTCCCCTGCTATTCTGCGCGGGCCGGCACACCTGGAGTTCCACGAGCTTCTCCTTCAAGGCCTGGGGCGGCAAACGCAGCTTTCAGCCTCGTGCCAAAAAGGCCGCCGACAGCTGAAAGAGGCCTGAGAAGAGCATAGCAGCGTGCAAGGGTGTTTGTGGTTATCATAATGGTTATAATCATCATCATTCCACACCTGTCAGGTGAGGGTTGTTAGATAATTGTATATATGTATTTTTTTCCGCGTCTCTTTTTCCCTATCCTCCTCGCCTCCTCTACCGCCAGCTCCGGATGGCAATGTTCCCAGCCGGACCTCAACCGCCAGCTCCCCTCGAGGGCAGTGTTCCCCGCCGGACCTCAACCGCCAGGTCCCGACGGCAGTGTTCCACGCCGGACCTCAACCGCCAGCTGCCGACAGCAGAGTTCCCCGCTAGACCTCAACCACCAGTTCCGGATGGCAGCGTGCCTCGCCAGACCTCAAGTAGCACCACTCTTCAAATACTTGGGGAGTTGTAACTGGGAATGATTGCTCAACCTTTTCTGAAATCGCTTGCCATTCCCACCCCTCATTCAACAATTTCTCAAGTTCTGGAGGGGTATGCAGCTGATGCCCTTGCGGGTTGACACATCCAGCCTGCAATGCTTTGCAGAACATCGCCCAGTGGCTGTCAAAAATTGATCTCCACAGGGAGGAGGCAGAAAGCCACTGGAAGTAGCAGAAAAGTTAACGTGTGCATTCAGCGTGAACATCAAAAGCCTCCTCCACGGTTCTTGTCATCAATCATCAAAGCTCAAGCTTAGTCGAGCTTGGTGCCATATGTGTAGTTTGCCAACGTCAGCGGGAACAATATTCCTTGCAGGTTCTGGTTGATTCCAATCATTTCTGCAAGCAACTGTTCCATTCTTGCCTTTGTATCACCATCCATGCCTGCACACTGCAAGCTATATGGTTCCAACGCAAGGTTGCAAGCTTGTACATGCACACACACACACATACACACACTTGCTTGCGCGCAAGTTTCATACATCAACTTGAGTGTCATGAAATCAGCTGAAGCCAAGCAAGCATCATGAAAAGGCCTGCGTTGAAAGTCTTGCCTAAAGAGCTGCTCAAACTATCAATTGAGAAATACCTGGACATCATCGGTCACGATAAGAAATTGAAGAAGGTGAGCACTCCAAGTCTTCCTGAAGAGACGAAAGAGCATCCCGCTAGAGCACCTGCTCCAGGTGTGAACGCTACACATTCGACCCGGCCTTGGTTGATAAGAAATCATCGGCTCCAAAAAATGACTTCAACAGTGGAGAAGAAAGTCGTGGTATGCTTGAAGATATGCCAGAAAGAATGTCAGAAGATATGCCAGAAATAGAGTCAGGACCTCAACCGCCAGTTCGGGACGGCAGTGGTCCCCGCCAGACCTCAACGGCGAGTCAGAAGATATGCCAGATAGAGTTGTCAGAATGAAATGTCAAAAGACATGCCAGGCCCGCCAGAAAGAATGTCAGAAGGACTGCATGGTGTTTCAATACATGCTAAAATTTTGTCAGATTGAAATGTCAGGGTGGGGATCAATCGAACTGATGCATTTTGTTTATTATTTTTCTTTTCCTCTTCATCATTTAGTCGCCACCAGGTCACAAGGCCTCGGTCGCTTGAAACGAATCCTGAAAGATGTTCCTGAAAGATCTGCGCCTTTGCGAACCTCCACGGACCCGACGTCGTTTGTGCCCCAATAGCAGCCAGGTACTTTTACTGCTCGTATTTTGAGACTCCGGGTATTGTCCAAAAAGCAAGAAGTCAAAACGACCCCGGAGAATCCTTTGATTGCATCTCCATCCTCACAGCCAGCCAAAGGACACAGGTGGACCCCCTGACAGGACAAGTTTGTGGAACTTCGAAGCTACCAATACGCTCCTCCCCACCCCAAACAAAGCAGCTATAGTATAGTAAAAAACACGAACCATCATCAAACATCCATCGTGAAACTTGTTTTTCTTTCCGGGTCGACTCGGTCACGAATCGTCCCTGAACAGGTCACCTCAAAAGACTCCAAGGTCCCAGCACGTGCTTCCACTCTCCTCCAACCCTGCCGATCCACAACAAAACAGGTACTTGATGGTACTTCTACGTACCATCTTCTACGCACACCCATCTTTCTGATCATAAAAACAAAGGTCAACTTGGAAGTCCACCCGGTCACCTTGATCTCTCATTCTCTGCTCTCCAAAATTGAGCAACCCACCATCGGCTCTTTCAGGCACCCTGATCCCAGCCAGGCCCGGATCGTGGGCGGAGGATCCCAGCCACCCCATTTTTGGGGTCCCACCTGAATCTCCTGTTGCGACGCCGTCGAGACCTCAGGAGCGGAGCGCGCGGAGCGCGCGGAGCGGACACCGCCCGTGTCCCGTCTCCCGGTGTCCACCGCCCCGTCGTCCCGCACACCGCGTCTGTCGTCCGGTGGAGCTCCGTGGAGCCCCAGTGAAGCGAAGTTGTGAGGCTTTTTGCCTGGAAATGCGTAGTGATGTCTGGTGAGTGTTGAATGCAAAGTGAAAAATAAAAGGACCGGATAACTAGAGACGAGAAGAAAAGAGGACGGAAAGATCCTGGACGAGAAAAGGGAGTGAGATGAGTGATGTGTGATGAGTAGTGTGTGATGAGTGGTGCGTGATGAGTGGTGTGTGATGAGTGGTGTAAGATGAGTGGTGTGTGATGAGTGGTGTAAGCTGAGTAGTGTGTGATGAGTGGTGTGTGATGAGTCTTGTAAGATGAGTGGTGTGTGATGAGTGGTGCACAGAGTGCTGTGCCTGCCACGAAATCTCCCTTCCAGGTTCGCCAAGTGCTGTGCCTGCCACACAAACGGCAGCCGCGTCCCAGCGGCGACCACGCGCGCCGCAGCAGGTCCGGGAGGCTCTGTGTACTGCGCTTGCCACGAAATCTGCATGGCAGGTGGTGTGAGTTGAGTGTTCATGAGCAGTGTAAGATGAGTGGTGTAAGATGGGTGGTGTGAGATAGGTGGTGTAAGATGGGTGGTGTGAGTTGAGTGGTGTAAGATAGGTGGTGTAAGATACGTAGTGTGAGTTGAGTGGTGTAAGATGGGTGGTGTGAGTTGAGTGGTGTAAGATGAGTGAGATGGGTGGTGTAAGATG